TTTTTATTTCATAGTCATTAGTAATAAATCATTTGTTACCATTCTCGTTCTTTCCTTCGTTCCTTTCTTTTATTTCTTTTTTATTCATTATAATATGACCATTTTATTTCGTCCTTTTTTAATTTAATAATCAGATTACTCGGTAAAAAATTAGGTAAGGATTGTAATTAAATTATTTGTCTGAGATTGGATAAAAATATTTTTAAATGAAGGGTACTTGAATTTTTATACAGAATATGCCAACAAATATTGACATAAAATTATTTTTAAGATTAACTTTTTAATAAATAATATTTAACCTCTCAATTTGGAAAGCTTTTGTTAGAATAATTGGTTGTTCTAAAATACAATGTTTTTTTGGAACACAAATTTTGGATGCTATATTTTAAGAGATTTAAATATTATAACACAATATTATTATACTACAGTATATTTAGTATAACTGAATTACGAAAAAAAAAAAAATAATATTAAAAATTACTTAAAAGACATACACAGATATAAGATTTAATAAATACGAATAAGTTCTAATATCTTTAAAACGTCTTGCTACAAAATTTATAATGTATTATAAAAGGTCAAAGGTAAGCGTAAAAATGTTGTTAATATTAATAAAAATAACAAAAAAATGTGTAAAATATAATAAATCAATGTCTATAAGTGAGAGTAGTCATGATAACGTAGAAAGAAGAAGAAAGGAAGAGATCTGGATCGTAGGAATTGATCGTTAATTCGCATGGGTGCGGCTTAGTATAACAGAAGAATATGGAAAGTGGAAGTGAGACCGTTGTAAACCGTTCCGGTAGAATGTATAGATCATCTAGAATGTATATTACATTGTACATATATCATGGCAGAGGCAGGTGAGTGAGAACGCCAGCCTTTCCTTCGTTATGTTGAATATATTTTTCTTCTTCCTTTATTTTCTGCACATTCTCAAGTGGAGCGAGTTTAACCTACCGGTAGGTTTTAAATAAAGTTGGATGGACCAAGCCTCTTACTTTCTCGGCTACTGCTATGTTGAACCTCATCTCGATCTCGTACAAACGTCTCCACATATAGGGTGTTCCTACTTTTACCCGCAATGATTAATTATATTCCAACAATTGAAATCAGAAAATAAGTATTCTACAAATTTCAACTGTTTTATCAGCATCTGTTCGCAAAATTCTATATATAAAAGTTAATTTTAATTCAGAACATCACACAACGAGTAAAAAAATCTAATTTTAATTCACATTTAAGAAAAAAGAAAAAAAAAACAATACACACTCGAATATTATTTTATTATTTTCTATTTTAAAAAGAATAATTTTGAATAGAAAATTTTTTTCAGTCTATCTTATTTCATGTAATTATATTAATATAATATGTTAGGATTGTTATATTAAAGAAAAAAAATAATAAAGTTAGAACACCCTGTATGTATGCAACCAACTCGAAAGCTCCTTTTCCAGTTATTATTTCTCCCTATTCACGAACAGAGCCAATCAAAAGTTGGTCGTTCGTTACGATCGAATCGGAGAAAGTGAAAATTTCTTCCGAAGTATCAAGCCGTGAATTTCTTTTGTATGCGTAAGGACCATCGACGAACTCTTAACACAAGGAAGTAGTATGCTTCAGTTCGTTATCGTTTAACGAACCTTTTAACGGATACTACATTATATCCCATATATGATCTATATCAGGATATGTAAATCAAAACTAGCTAACTATTATTCATTTTTGATTCTTTCGTACAATATGTTGTAACTTTTTATTTGTCTTCTCATTTTTATGAAACGTTTGAACAATCGATAAACATCACCATCTGTTGATTTTTTTTTTTATTTCATTCAACAATTTTCAAAGTTTTGTAGTAAAATTTCAATCCTTTTTTTTTGATTATTTTTTTTTGGATCGACAGATTGATCGATTCTTGAACGATTCAAAACTTTGTGTATTTGTTTGGTTTCATTTTACCACTACTATTACTATTCTACACATTTGTATATTTAATACAAATTTATCAATTTTTAGAGCATTGCTATATACGGTTATATTTCTTTGAAACAAAAATATATAAATGTGGTTTAATAGGAGAAGCTTCGATAGTTACGGAAATATCAAATTTATGGAAGCACTATCAGGATATTCGTACAAATTATAATTAGAATATTATATCTATTTCAGTTCTATAATATAAAAAATATGAAAATAATTAAATAAGAGCTTCTACGATTCTAGAAAATTATATTTTTGTCTGATATCAGATTCTTCCATACTTCCAAAAAAACATTTGCAAAAATTGGAATATTGTTTAGATTCTTTTATGGTTTGAAAAATCATATAAATAGTTCGATTAAGTGTCAGGCCTTTTGTGTATCCCTTTCTCTTGTTCATTTCTTAATTATATTATTCTTTTAAAAAGACAATAATCTGGAAAAGTGAAAAGTTTGCGATAGTTTCTATAATTCTTCCATTTTTGTTCATCCATTCAACTTACGGTAAAGATTCGAGAAAGTTTTCGTGATTAATCGATGCTAATTTGGAACGTTACGATCCATATGGAAGATTTTTAACATACACCCATAATTCTGAGATAGAAAGTGGAGGGTCGGTTTTGAATTTATTGATTTCCCCTATATCTGTGCCCCAAGGCTTTTCTTACCCAATAAATAAAAAAGACAAAAAAAAAAAAGAATAAAAGGAAAAAAAACCTAAATCCTTCATGGGAAGGGGGTTCATCGATTTATTTTCTTCACGCAAGTCCGAAAATAATCTTTTTGACCGTCACCATAGAGAGTGGTATTCCGATCACGAGGCCTCCTTTCCTTCATACCTTTCCTTTACCTTTCATTTCGCACCTCTATAGAAGTACAACTATCGATTTTTTATCTAACACAAGAAGACAAGCATTTTCTTTATTCCATTTCTTCTAAGATTTCAGTTAAAACTCGACAGACTTTAACTTTCAAATCGTGTCAATGTTAACAGTTCCGCACTGATTATTTGTCTATGTCACGATCACGTTTAAACGATTATTTGCCTAATACCAGTACTATTATGATGATCATAATGCATATATGCATTATTTCTAACGTTTTGATTATATCATTTCAAATACGGTATCTACTTCTAATTAGATACTAATCTTTTCATTTACATTCTCAATGAAGTATTATAAATAAATAAAAATTAAGCTACTTTCAAATTTTTATATTCCGATAATTGTTATTAATATTTAAAAATTATAGGTATATATTTTATTTATGTAAATAATTTTTCTTTTAAAAGAAGTAATAAAATTTTTGTTGTATATTACAAGAATTAATATTTAATTTGACATTCGTTTAAAATTAAATCTATAAAATTTAATTATGATAATAAACTATTAAAGTAAATATTATTTTCTCGAAAGATTAAATAATTAACAGCAATCACGCATATACGTTTATTATAAGAAAAGAATTAATAATATCGTTAAACACAATGAGATATCTTTTACTATTGTTTAAAGAAAGTAGATATCGACTTATTCGGTCTATTTCATTCAATACGATGCGAAATTACTTGGAATTGTATTATCGGAATAGTAATTTTCAACAAAACACATAATGGAATATTTTCATGTTATTAAATTACAATCGATCTTAGAGTTATATATTATATCTTAAACAAGTTAAAATTATTAAGAAAACAAAAACCTCTTTTTATTATTCTTATTCCAATTTATTTATAGTATAAATAAATCTAATCAAAATATCATTTAATTTAGTAATACGTACATATACATATAATACTTATAAGTATGGAAATACCGGTACTCGTTTAATTACCAAGTTAATGAATTGAATAGCTCTAGCGGAATAATTAGAATAGTTTTATACGGTAAAAGACATTTTAAGTACGATTTAAATGAAGATTATGTCAAAGAATAAAAAATAAAAAAAAATATAGCACCGTTAACTTAAAATCGATTTGTTACATTGATCACTGTTCCATATAATTAAAAAGAAGAAGAAGAATAAGAAGAAAAAAAAAAAAGAATAAGATACGACCGTATAAAATCGGCATAAGATTGTAAAACGATCGCGTGTTGGTAATCGTTTTGACCGTACTTCTTCCGTGCTCACGGAATAATTACAGATGATTCTAAAATCTCGAATTTTCGTTCTAACTTTACATAATTGTATTTTATTATTATTATATGCTCTGATTTTACTAAGCTAAATTATCGAAATTAGATTCAGAGAAGAGAAGATCGCGAAAGTGAGAGATGTTGTTGGGTATCGTTATGAAAACGATCTTATTCAATCTCCTTTCTATTTCTTTTTCGTGTGTGTCTCACTAATCCTGTTATTTTATTCCAACCTGATATTCATCTCTATATATATGTATAATATATATATTAACTCGAGAAAGAAATAATATATATATTTTTATTATTTTCCATATTAAATTTATTCATGAGAAGATTGAAAGCGAAATTTATTGGCTAAATTGTAAAAAGAAGAAAAAAAAAAAAAAAAAAAAGAAAAGGTATAATTTTAATCTCCTTTCGATTTGTTCTCTTTTTCTTGTTCTTTTTTTTTTTTCTTACCTCGTATCTTTTTAGATTCTTTCTTTACCTCTCCGATCGAATTTATCATCGGATGACAACTTGGTGTCATTCTTCTTCCCGTTTATTTCTTTTCTTTTTTACAAAATCTGACAACCTTTCATTTGTTTGTTTCCATTTTGTTTCGATTCAACGTTAAGAATGTGTGTGTGTGTGTGTGAGGAACGTATAAAATAATTTATTTCTTCGATCGAGGAGCTTCCATTGCTTTTACTTCGATTCGCATTTTGCACACTTTTGCATGTGGATTGACTAACTAAGACAAACGTAGATTATCATACATAGGATGTAATTCAAAAGGTGAATTGTAACTCGTCCGCGTTGGATACTAAGTGGTAGGGATAAAAGCTATATAAGAGAACGTAAGCCGGCATTGGTTTTATAGTTCAGCTATAAGTTCCTTGTGTTGTGTGTGAATATTATCTAGCTGTTTAAACATGGTAAGTCATAATTTTTAAGTGATAGAGTTATGATACCTTTTTAAGTAATAACCATTTAACTTGTTGGGTAATAATTTATGCCAGTAAGTGTATCATGAACCATTTAGCTAACAAATTATCCTCTTATTTTAAGAGCAAATTTAACGATAAGATTATTCTTTTATTTTTATTGTTATTTTATACATTTTTATATAATAACTTTTATTAAAAATTAATTCAAATTATAAGCAGTGACCGTGCATATAGAACCATTTTTTGTTTTAAATTAATAATTAATTTTAATGAACTTTTATATAATAGATATAAACATTACTAATTGATCTTAGAAACGATCTTATGATAAGAAATTATTTTTATCTCGTTTTTTTATAATAGTCATCTAATAAATATTAATGTAAAATAAACGTGACGTATTGATTGCTTTTTTTTTTATTTTTTAAAGTAACAAATTCATTATAGTAACATCATAGAAAGTTGTGTGTATTTATATTTATAAAAGAATTTTTCGATGAAAAAAATATTATCATTTGGTAGCATTTATTTCACTCGAATTCACATTGTCGATAATAATACTCTACCGAAATTTAAAAATGAAAGTACAAAAAAGGGAAAGACTTTTACTTATACGTACGTGATCGAATACACTTGTTTATCGGGTGGTGTCTCCCCCCCCCCTTCGAGAGTACACCCATTCAGGGTATGAGAGTAGTCTATATAAGAGTGGTCCATGTCGGATCTTTGACCCAGAACTTAACGTGCAGTGAAAGTATTCCTGGTGCATTTTTACAGGAAAATAACAATGGTGAACAAATTAATAATAGTACATTAATCTTGCACAGCTATCAACAAGCGTCATTATTCTTATTTAAACTTAAAACATTGCAAATCTTATTTTACGTATTCGGAGTAATTTTTAATTTGATTTGATTTTTAGAAACTTTACACGATACTTTACGTATTATTCGTCGTTGCTAACGGTGAAAAGAAAATCAATTTGGAGGATATCGAAAGAGATAATTTGAAAGCTGAAAGTAGATCTAAATCAGATGATACTAAATATTCCTATAAATCTGAAATAAATCAACAACATTATCCAACTACGACTTATGTTACACCCCAACCAATTCCAAATGTAAGATTCATTAATTATTATTATTATTATTATTACTATTATTATTATTATTATTATTATTATTATTTTATCGTTTATTATTATAACGAGGTGTATTAATTATTTTTAGGTACCACCGGAGGAATACAGGAACCATAATAAATATTCCAATGAAATTATTTATCAACAAAGTAATCAACCTTTGCAACAATATCACGAATATCAACAACAAACGAAACATATTCCAACTTATTATAATCCTGAATCAACAATTTATCAACCCGAAATCAATGTTGGCAATCAAGTGCAAACTTTGCAACAAAAAGTAGTCGGACAGAAGTTTGGCCAAAATTCAAACAAAGGTATATTGAAACTTTAACCACATTTGTTTTTTTTTTTATTTACAATTAGGAATATAATAAAATATTTTCTGATTGCAGACAATTTTTACATTGATATTCCTATGAGTCAATTGTTATCATATTACCCACACATTGATTTAAATGGTTTGAATGGTGGAAAAATTCAAGCTTCCCTTCAAGAATTATCTCAAGCTCAACAAATTTCGATTCCCTTTTACACTTCGTTATTGAACCAGAAACAATTGATCACACCTGTTAAGACGACTTATCAAATTGTACCACAACATATCCTGAGGCAACCTATTCCAGTATCAACCACGTTATTTCCTAAGGTAATTATTCATGTTACAAAGTTAAAAATCTTATAAAGTATTACAAACAGATTAAAACATTTCTCGTGATTTATATTACATTAGCAAATCAGCTAATAAGTAATGTCAGAAGTTACGAAAGAAAAAAATACTAGATAAAAAGTATTAAACATTTTTTGTGATAAAGAGAAAAATATTAAAAGACAAAATTTACTTTTTTTTTTAATACATTCTATTTTTATTTATTAAAAAAAAATACTTTATTGTAAATATTATTTAGTTAGACATAAGTTAACAAATATTTTTTTAACACGTTGACTGGCACGTTAATCATCCGCGACAGTAGTTTTTATGTCGTTTTAAAATTATGTGATTTATTCTCGTTTACGTTCGTCAAGTTTCGGCACTATGTGAGCACAATTTTTTCAATTCATTCACATATGAATATAATTCTATAGCATATTATTATTAATTAACAGCATGGGCTAAACATTTATTTAACTTACTCGTCAATCCGTTAACAAACACACCCAATTTTCAATAACAAATATTATTTTCTTTATTGAAATAATTATTGTTAAAAAAACTTGAGATTACTTATTAGCCAACCTAATACATCGTCTAAAAAGAAAAAAGCCAATATTTTTTATTTCATTTACAAATTATTAACAGTAAATGTAAATAATACCATTGAATTATAGTTTTCGAAAGGGTCAATATATGCATCGGTAACTTCGAAGAAACCAATCTCACCTCAAGTCTACGAACAGCCAGAGCAATCCTATTCCCAAGGAAATCAATTATTATACACGCAAGCTTACATTACTAAGCCCCAACAACATCGACTACATCAACAACAACAACAACATCACCAACAACAACAACAACAACAACAACATGTTTCTACAGTGATAAGCAATCAAGGGAATGCCCTTTATACACAAACGACACCCCTTCAGGCAGATCTTTATGTAAAATCACCAGTTTATGTTCAAGATAACTCCCTTCATGGCCAAGTTAATCAATACAATGGTCAAACCGAGCAATCGTATATTTCTTCAGTTACGGAACAACAACTATCAAAGCAAATCTTGCATGAAGATGAGGAAAGCCAAAGCGTTTCTCAAAATTACGTCAAGGTTCGTTAAATAGAACTTTGGCAATCTTGTAATAAATAGTTTCGATAGATATTACTAATAGAATGATAAGATCAATCATGTAGGAATAAAAGTGGTTAAATGGAGAAAGCTTGAATATAATAGTATTTTTGTTATATAACGTGATTTATAGAAAGTTATAGGTCGGATGTGACATCAAGATCAGTTTGGGAATGAAGAATTTCTTTTTAATTAAATAAAGAACATTAAGTATGCTATTTTTAAATTGATAAAGCTGCTAAAGTCATACAAAATAACTTTTACTTTCTATAAAATCTTGTAACATGTTAAAAATCGCGCGATTGCGTAATAAAATTCTTCAACTGTTTTTTTTTTACGCAATTTACACTATTACAAAATATATATATTTTTCTTTTTTTAAATATTCGTTGCGTTAATTAAAATATTATTTTATCGGTGTATAAATAATAATAATAACACTTTTTAATGAAATAAATTTACGTTTTAGGTTATTAATATAATCTATACAATATATTGATTTAATGAAATAGTTTTGTGTTTTAGGTACCGGAGAAACCAAATTCAGATTTTATACCACCACAAATATCACATCAGAATTTTAAACCAGACGTAACTCAATTGATACAAGTTTCTTCGGATTCTGAAGAATCGTCTCGAGTCAAAGATCATATCGTTAGTTCAGAGCCACGAACTTTATTGGATACGTATGTTCCAAGTAATCTAATCGCTGCACAGGATTCAGCGAGGTAAGCTTAAGCGATAATACTATTAATCATTTTTTTTCCTCGTAAATAAAAATTTCTCCGAATACTTTAGATAACGGGGAAGAGAAGAAGAAGAAGAAAATAAAAATAATTAAATTTGATTAATATTTTATTTCTTTTCTTTTTTTTTTCACGTGAAATCGCAGATATCGAGAGAGGCCGTTGCACTTGGAAAGCGGATTTCTACCTTCGAAAAATAATTATGTGCAATACAAGAAACGTAAGACGCAATAATGTTCGTAAGAAGTATAGTACCATGGAAAAATCCACACACACACACACATATATTTACATATATAAACGACTAACGAGCATCAATACATCTGATTTTGATGTTTAACAAAATGTTCGTTTAAAATTTAATGTCTTATTTTACCGTTAATTACGACGAACGAAACGAACCATCTTTTAAAAGGTGTTATGTCGTTTCGAAATAAAAAGAAGCAACATCTTTATCTAGTCCCTCATCGAAAATCACAATACTTACGTTTAATTTTTGTATTCACTTTACTTATTTGTTTTATATGCATATGCGCGTTTTGTTTGAACAAACGAAACGCGATGTTGTGTTATTTTTTCATTTTTAAATAAAATATAAAAAACTTATTCGTGTGTTGTTTATTTTTATTTAAATAATTCTAGATTAATTGATTTATTTAAATTAATCCTACTAGAGAGCCTGATAGATAAACACGGTACGTTAAAAAATATTAATTTAAAAAATAGAAATTATTATTATTAATTGAAAAATATTATTAATTTTGTCTAATTTGTTAATACATTTATTTTACACTTGTTATTTATGAGATACTATTTATTGTTATTAGATTAAATAATTTATAGTAACTCAATCTATTTAAAATATCAACATAAATTTATGTATATGCAAATGATGAACTCGCGTGTAATGGATTGATACTCGAAAACACTTACAATTTAGTAGACACGTAAGATTTATTGGAATACATCAATTTTATTTAAATATTAACATATCACTCGACAGATTTTCTTTATCTATTAAATAAATTCTTACACCTTAAAACTGATGTAAATCGCATAATTATTAGGTGTTAACGAAATATTAACGAACTGTATGAAATGTCTATTTCTCTCAATGGAATCTTAAATATCAAATTCTTATTGATTTCATTCGCATAAAAGATTCCAAAAAAAGAAAAAGAAAATTTACTTTAATGTTTGATTGATTTTAATATTAAGAAAAAAAAACAAGTCATAGTACCGGGTAATGAAAAATACAAAAACGTAACTTGATTAAGTTTTACAATTTTAAAACATTAACAAATTTTGAATAAGATTCGTTTACGAAATTGTTGAAAGTGGAACGTTCGGAAGGATGATTATTGATAGAAATTAATTAATCGCGCATCGAAATAACATTAAAAATAATGAAAGAAAATGTCGTAGTAATAAATAGAAAATCGACAAATTTAATCGAGTATTGGGAATTAAAGGATTTATCAAATTTGGTAACAGGAAAGTACCGATAATATATTATATATATGTATTATACATGCAAATTTAATGTAATATATATATTTATACGATTGGTTTACACAAGGATAGCGAGTTTCAACGAGAAAGCGGATACTGTAAAGATGAGTCGTTACTATACTATACCAATTTCTTTCCTATCTTCTGCTTTTGTTCAATATTCAATAACGATAATAAATATATATGACACTGTTATCAACATTTTTCTTCGTAATATTTTAAAGATATTATATAAATTATATTTTTTAGTTTTTATTTGATATATTTTCGTTTAAATATTTAAATATTTTGTTCTAATTCCTTGTAAAAATACTTCATTCAAGTTTCCTTCGATGTATTAGAAACATATATGTAAAACAATCGAATTATTACTATTTTATTAATCATTTTTAAATAGTATTTCTTCAAACTGGTCTTATACTTTTTTCAAATTATGATAACCAATGAATTCAAACAATTCTTGTCTTTTTGATAATCCTACAAATCCCTTTTTTTATTTTCATTATGCACTTTGAACTCGAGATTAAAAAAGATGATAGAAATATAGTTATAGTAACTTAGGTTTCATACAAATTTCCTCTATCTTTTTCTATATTATATTAAAATATATATCCTTACACACTACACACATAATGGATACTTTATTAATTAAAATTGTATAACAGACCAATATGCTTATATTACTATAATATTAAGATATTTATAATATTAAAAATCAATTTAACAAGGGGTTACAAATAATAACCTACTTTTTATAACCTTATGTAAAACGTATATATATATGCTTTTAAATAAAAATATTTAAATTTATCTAATCATAGAGTTTAAAAATAATTACTAATAATAATATTACAATATTTAAAATATTAAAAATCAATCTAACAAGGTGTTACAAATAATAACAAACTTTTTATAACCTTATGTAAAATGTATATATATGTTTTTAAATAAAAATATTTAAGTTTATCTAATCATAGAGTTTAAAGGTAATTACTAATAATAATATTAAAATATTTGAAATATCTAAAACACTTCTAATCTGTTTGATATGGATAGATACGCTACTGGCAGGTGTCTACCGCACGTATCGAACGTCTTTGCTGAGGTGAAACTATAATGATGGTGTCCTCCTCGCTCACGAAGCGAGGGCATATAAGGTGGGATGCTGTAGCCTCCGCTTCATCAGTATCAAACAAACACACACGTTAAGTCCACCGAGTCAGGTTGAAGTTTGATCATCATGAGACTAGCTAACATACACGTAAGTACCATACAACTTTTTCATTCATTTTCTACGCTTTTCTTATAGGATAACTACTTCAATGAACGTTCTATTAAGTGTTTTCATTCGATACTTAATTGAACCCTTGCTATAATATGTCCCGTCAAGTGTGTACATTTATATATCACACATGTGATATGTGTGTGTAAAATATATTTACACATGTTTTATTAATTATTTTCCATTTATGTATTCTATAGAATTTTCATTCGTATGTATTTAAACGAATCATTAACAGAATCAAATACTACGAATATTTTTGATTCAAATTTATACGAATAATCGTTCGATTAACATACTTACATATTGTATATCCGATATTCTAAATAATTTATATTAATTCAATCGGAATGTCAATCGGTTTTTATAATATAATTTATTTCATACTTATTTGTAAGTTCATTTATTTATTTCCCCAATGTTATATTCTATAAAATAATAACAGATTTAAACACATTCAATCGGTTTATAGAATTTATTTCATACTTATTTGTAAGTTCATTTATCTATTTCTCTAATGTTGTAATTTATAAAATAATAACACATTCGAACACACAATAGGGAAGTAACAAAAATTTTATAGAAATTTTGTTTCTTTGCATTTTAGTAGCACAATCAATAGGATGGTCATTATAGTGAAAGTGTATCTAATTTTTTTGTTAGTTCCTGATACGTATTAGTTCGGTTTAAAGATAACATCCAGAAATATAGTAAATCTTGAGTAAGTCAGTGAAAGTCCTTGAGAATAGAACGAGGATTCTTTGACACAAATTCGACGATACGTTTTGTTAGGTAACTGTGTAATATCACGCGAGAAGGAAGCTGGAGAAACTCTCTTAACGAATGTTTCATTCGTCGATCGGATGTAAAATTAAAAGAGCCCAGGTGTCAATTCGTTACACGTTTATACACACATTCGATATTTGCAATTCTATTTATCCTTTCTCTTACACAAACGTTAAACACGTAGAAATTTTACTATTTACATTAGAAATTATTCACTTTTATTTCTCAATGTATATTTTAATTTAATAATCTTCGAACTAGTTTCAATTCAACATTCAAATTTTATTATTATTATTATTATTATTTTAAAATTAATAATTTTTTGTAATATGGTTCTCGATATTATATCGATTAAAAAAGTTACTATTAATTTTCAATACAATTCGCTTTAATGTTTAATATTTATTTAGAAAATAATAATTATATTTAATAAGTTTCGTTATTTATTAAATATCGTTTGCGAATTATTAATTATAAACCAGAATTTTGAATACTTATCATTTATATACCAGTTTACATGCGGTCAGGAAAGAAAGTAGTGAAAATCGCGAATGCAACGTATGAAACCTGTTCTCTTCATGAGTTGACCTGAACGATGACCCTGAACAGGATCCGGATGAAGTTCATGTCCTTTCTTTTCAAGGTCATGCGAGTAGTAACATTGCCATTGTATCTTAAGAGTATACAATTTCACGTTTAATCTTTAAATGATTTATACCAAACGTTAGCGCGATTATAAAGTAGCCGAAAGTGTAAATTATATATATATATGTATCTAGAAGAGTCTCTTCTACAAAACGCTTACGTATTAAAGTAGTAAAGTCCAGTGAAAGTAAGATTACCATTAGCAGAATATCTCGTTGAGATCGATGACCATCGGTGCTACGTTAAAAGCGTGACGCTTTAATAAGAATCGAGACACTTAAAAGTAAAAATAGTGGGCTGATATAACTGACAGTAATGATTTTTGCATTGTTTGTTTCTTGAATAGTCATATTTATATTTAAATTTACATTAGAAAACGAAAGATATAACTGATATAAAAAAGATATAACAGATATAACTGACAGTAATGATTTTTGCATTGTCTGCTTTTTAAACAGTCTTATTTTCATTTTCAAATTTATATTAGAAAACGAAATAACTTTAATATTTATTCGTAATAAAGGATACTCGTTTGAAATATAAATGGCGTTTATATTAATTTTACAAAATAATTTTTACAATTCGTACCGCATAAATAAAACTGGAAAAATAATAATTACGAATAAAAAAAAATTATGAGCAATTTAAAAATTGATTGTTCGTGTTTGGGTGAGAATTCCCTTTGATATATTTTACAATTTTGGTTAGATTTAAAATATTCATTCTTTTTTTAAAATATTGTTATAATTTTTATTGCCTTGCAAAGAACTCTTAATGAAATTTAGTTGTAATACAAATAAGATTTTCTTTTTTTTTTAAAAAAAAAAATATAGCAACATCTATAGGAAACATTTGTTCATAACAGGATTTCAGCCATATTTGGGATAATTATTAAAAACGAGACACCCGTTATATACTTTTCTCCTTTTCCAGATGAGAAACGTTTCTTTTTAAAATAGGAAAGTTAGTTCGTTCAACCAGAATTCCTCGATCTCGTGAATTATTAATCGTACTTTAATATTTTTTTTATCTTCTTTTTCTTATTTTTTCTTTTCCAGATTCTGTCTTGCCTTCTTCTTGGATCGGTTATCTTATCGGATTGTGCGAAGAAGAATTTGGAAGAAAGCCAAAATAAATTGGACGAGAGAAAGGGGAATGATTCATCGTTTGTTCCAAAAATTGTTCATGCGAAGGATAAAAAAGTACAGGATCGTTTGAACGATGATCCTGATGATCCACCCGAGGAAGAATTTCCAATTTTACCGCCGTTGATACTTTTAGATTTTAATAACGACACGATAGATGCTAACAAGAGTAGCGAAGAAAAATCTAAACGAACTGTCAATAATGGATTAGGTTATGGTTTTGAAAAAAATTCATTGTTTTCGGGAAAAACCAATTATTATTTCCCTGCTGGTAAAACAGGAACAACAGTTAGCATCGAGGAATCCATCAGTCCATTTTTACCAAGAACAATAATCGAAAAATATATCCCAAATAATTCAAATCGAAACGAGGCTAATACATTTATCAATTTGCAAACATCTCAAACAAATTATGTACCCAGTACGAAACTTCAAAAGGTTTCAAATTATTACGACACGTATGATTCAAATTATCGAACAAAAAATGAAAGATTACAACCGACCTCCACACCAAGTTCTATTTCATCGAGTACGCAACGACCACAGAATCATTTCGATTTAAAGTCCTCGAATTATTTGCTATCAAATTTGAATATACCCTCTTATCAAGGAAACACAAACATCAATACAGATATAATTGGACAAAGTGGAAGTATATTTCGTCCAACTGTCCAAACTTATGTTGAACGAGGTCAAAATGTATTTCAACCAGCGATACCTACTAAAGCTACTTTACAAAACGATGATTCGCAAATATTTAAAGTAGACTATACAGATCATCGGTCAACTGAACAGGCAAATCCTAATCATTTTGGATTCAATCAAAATCATTTTCGGATAATACCTTCTTTGAGTCAATCCCAGGGTAGAAATCAAGCTGTTAATTATAACAATGTTCATTCTCAGACCTACAATGATCCAAGACAAAGTCAAACAGTTTCAACAACTCCAAATTCATTGGAAACCAATTCACAAAATTATCGATACTTTCAAAACATTTTTAATCCAAATCAGCAGTACTACGATGGACAAGGACAACATTTCAGAGTTGCATCCCATGATTCTTTGGTTTCTAATATTCCAAATTTTAATAACAATAGAAATCATTATCAAAGTTATGCTGAACAACGGCAAAACGATAGAGCAATATTTACAACACCTAGTCCACAAACAAATTACGAATACGTTCAGAATCCTACCACTGAAGCAAATCTTCCAAGATATACGATTGAAAATGGTGCACGATACGAGAATAAAATTTTCTGGAAGTATCCGGATGGCCGAATTTCTCACGAACCACCAGCAACTTACGTCGAAACTTACACCGAAGATTCAACTGCGAGTCCACAAATATCGAAAATTCAAGAAACCTATGTTGAGACAGATCTACCAACAGAATACAGTGTTCATGCACAAGGTCCAATACAATTTCCAATAGCACCAGAAATACCCTCACAACAGAGTCAATTCGTATCATCTGAATCATTGTCTTCGAACTTGTCACATCAACAGGCTTATAGAATTGGTTATCAGAATTTAGTTAGCCAAAGACCGAACGTATTACTCGCACAAAAAGCAAAAATGGAATATACAACACCGACAGCACCTTCATTTGTAAGCACAACATCTTTTTCGACTACCAGAAGGCCAATATTTACGACTAAAAAAAAACAGGATCGTAATAATTTATCATTGAGTTATACAACCACAGCACGACCAGTTTCAAGGTACATGGTAAATGGACCGGACGCTGAATACGTCGATACTACGGAATCCTCTTTAAAATTAAAACCAGGTGAGTTGACGGCTCACGTTTTAGCACGATATAAGCCAAGACTTCAAAATTATTTGAAAAAAATCTTTACAGCTAATCGAGATACAGGAAATAAAGGGAAACAACAAAGTAACAAGAACCTCAACGATTACAACCATCTTCAATATTCTGATCTTTTGAGTTATAATCCATCGATATCCCAATACATCAAAGACCCATCATCAATATTAAACGTCCGACCAACTTTCGTGCAGGCTGGAAACTCATTAGTACCTGTCATCATCCTTAGAGTAGATGGTGTACCACCAGTTCAACCTAAAACTACATCCAATATCAATTTGAAAGCACTTCTTCAAGAATATTTAGTACAATACGCTAACAGTATAAAGGAATTAGCTAAACCAACTAATTACGAATTAGGTATTGAACAATTTAGTCAAACGCAACGTACCATACAAGCTGGTAATCGTTTACTTCACTTAGCCCGACAAAAACAAAACGAGAACATCGAATCTTCATCCCCGTCAACTTATCTATCAGATTCTTACCCTGATCAGAATAATTACGAAGAAAATGTATTTTTAACTGGAGAAGAAACTCGTCCAATTGGTAAATTCGGTGATCGTACCAACGTAAGACCAAAAACTAAAAGCGTACAAATAATAGATGATCAGAGATTTACGACTTACAATGTTAAAAGTTAAAAATTATGTGATAACGAAATAATTATCCTGTCATAGTTTTTATTATCATATTTTTGGGAAGAACTATTGACAGAGATGATTACGGAATTTAATAATTTCCGTGTTGGTGCATAAAGTATTATGGAATTAATCGTTTTTTTATTAGATTTTACTTTGATTTAGTATTTAATAACGGGATTGTGCAATATGGCCTGTATTCGTGTATACAAAATCTACATATTACTATATATACATTTATATGTATATGTATGCAATTTATTGATAGTTAATCTACAATCAACGTCTCCTATAATCAAACCAAATGACGAGTAAAGGCCAATACTCAAATATTTGACGTACCTGTTTATTGATTTACGAAACCACGAACATTTGTTCGACGAATTTACATTATCTAATCGAAGTAACATTCTCTTTTTCTTGAAAACATTTTCAACAAAGGAAAAGAAGAATATGTTATACACCAAACAGCGTCACTTCGAAAAGGTACCTTGTAAAACTTAGCTTGTATTTATGATGATGATGATGATGATTTCAATTATAAGATGAGACTTTTTGTATGTTCAGAGTTCTTATCTTGTTATAAGGAAAGTACATTTTTTTATTCGTGAAAGTCACACCTCTCTTATAATCTTCCTATTCACTTAACGTTAATAATTGCATGCGTATGAAAGGGACATGATTGAGAGATTATAGAGTAAGTATTATATTAAAATATCATTAAGAAACCATATTTGGTGTTAATTAAAAATATATTCGTAAAAATTAATTAAAAGTCTTTTTAATTGAATTTATAAATTAAAATATTATAAAAAAATTAATTAATGAAATTTAGATAAATATTTTATTATTAAATTTCCAATATTTTGTTATTCTTAATTGCGTGTCCGTAAAAATTGCAGAAAAATAATTTTTATAAATCTTTGTAAAATTTCTAATTAATATAAACATAATAAAGATAACAAACTGTAACCATATTTGGTTTATCTCATAATTGTGTTTAAAATTATTCAATAAAAATAGTGCGTGGATGGATAATTAACAATCTTGATAAATCAAATTGTTCTTAACTGCGTTTTTATCGTCTATCAAAGAGTCAACTAATTAACATTAATTGTCGACGAGAAGTAAAAGAAAGAAAGGAATAAAAAGAAAGAAGAAATGGTCCAAAGTGATTGGTCGATGTTTAATTCCACGTTTTCACAATAGCAAGTGAATAGCGAGCTACCGATGATATCTTTTACAATCTAAAGAAGAACAAATTAACTAAAAGCAATTAGGCAGGTAGATGTTCTATCAAAATCGGAAAAGTAAATGCGCGTGTGCGCGAGTTTCACACAAACGAGATGAGAGTACTACCGTATCTATGACTACACTAAAAACTATTAAAAATCCTTTCCATCTTGTAAAACGTGTTGCATCGTGAGGAACGCGTGCATCGAGCATAATGCGTGTGTTTTAGAGCGCATAAAACTATTAATCGAAAAAATATTGACCGTTTAACTGCTACTAAATTTTCTTTCCACATTTTTATATATTTTATTTTACACATTTAGATATAAACGCATCTTCGATAATTATATTTAACAATATATAACAATTTAATAGAATGCTATGAAATTTAGGTACGCAAAAAAAAAAAGAAGGAAAGAAATCTTTCTCGTTCGTAATTAATATAAAAATTGTATACTTCTTTTATTTCCGCGAGAAACATATATGAGATTTCTTTTCAACTAGTTCGGTTAATAACGTCTTGTAATCAAAAACTACTTATTTCCGATCTTATTTCCTTACTATTATTTTACATGGTTTTATTTTTTATTTTATAAAGATACCATAAATGTTTAGTTGTAGTATCCTGTATATAATAGGAATCGGACAACATTTTTCCTTTGCACGGTCGCGTGTCGCGAATGAAAGTATCCTTCTCTGTGTACGGTGCTTCTACGTAGGATAATATTTAGAACGATATTTTTCACTTGGTTACCAGAGTGTATAAAGAAAATCGCATATCTACTATGTGGCTCAGTTCTCGTGTGGAGCTTTACCTCGAAGGGTCTTTCTTATTTTTCTCGTGTGTCCAATAGTTTCATTATTTTCGAACAAAATAACATCGATTTTTGTATTCGGATTATTTTGTGATAAGAACCACAATTTTCCAAGTTTTCGTTTGATATCATCTTTTTAATGGGAAGAAGCTACCAAGGAAGATCGTAGGGAAATGTTTTTATATTACGTAAGTAAATAATTTTTTTTCTTTTTCTTTTTTTTTTTTTCGAAAAGTGCATTGTATGACGACATGATCATCTCATTGGTTACTTCTGATAAGATTTAATTCAACGAAAGTGTATATATATATATATATATATATATATTATTATACACGAATAATATTATTTTTAGCATTTAATTTTATTTAAAAATTATTTCAAGGAAAAGTTGTGTATCGGATAAATAACATATTATTCGGAATTAAAATAACACACAGAACGTTGATAATTGACTTTCTAAAAATTAATGAACATACCACCGAAGTAATCTTATTCATCACTCTAAAAATAATTGCTAATCGAAATAAGATTTGTATTCGTTAATGAGATACGTAAACGCAAGTGAAAACGGTTTGTAATTATATATCGAAGTGACAAGTTTTTCTTGGAAAAATATAATAAAAAAAAAAGAAAAATACAAAAACAAACAAATAAAAAAAATATAAGAAAGAAATGTAGATAAATTTGAAAGAATATTATTTCGAGATACATACATATATTCCACGCTTTCGGAAATCATGCTAGGTGTACTACGTAGAAAGTTGTTACACGTATATTTCTATTTCTTTTTTTCTCTCGGTAATCTAATTTGTAAGGAACGAACATTACCACTGCGAAATGAATTCTTATGTTCGTAAATTGGTAGGAAAGTCTATATAAAGATTTGCTCCTGTGCACATCCAGTACTTGAATACATACAACACGCACTCTGCTTTTGCACATTTTTACTTTTACAGTCTTCTTTTATTTTTCTGGGTCAAAACCTTGGACTTTCCACTAATTCTCTTAGATATCATCGTTCCATTGAATTATTATTCTAACGTACTTTCTTCTATAGTTTCATTTTTTTTTAATTTTTAATTTTTATTCACATTTAATCATGCAACAAAAGGTTACATCATTTTACCCCAACACAAACGTTGAATGATTTTTTTTTATTTTTCGTTTTTGAATTTAAATACTGCATTCAATTGTCACTGCTCATCTTCGATCGTTGATTATTATATAGCAAATTATTTTATTTATTATTCGTGCGCTATTTCTTATAAATAATTGCAGAACATTTATTAACATTGCTATCGTTTAATTTTATTTAAAAATTTTTTGTTTGTTTAAACAGATCATTATATTATTCCTGTGTTGGCCAAATGCAAGAGGATCTGACAACGCGGAACCTCAAAATGAGACAATATTTGATCAGCTTGCAACAGCTTCCGAAAATATTCGGACATTTGTTAAAACTGTCCCACCCCCGATCGATACTTCGATCAATTATGAAAACTCAAACGGGTTTATACCGATGACACCAGCCACAATTACACAACGTTATCAGCAACACGTTGAATTCATCACTGCTACGACACTGAATCCAAGAAACGTATACGACGATCAAGAAAATTCATCAAAACCAACAGAATTTATTCTTAATATTAATAGAAATATTCAGAAAGACAGGGAAAAGCTTGAAAATGATTTAGTTTATTCGCCGGAAGCAAGAATCTTTTTAGATTTACCTCACTCAGGTATGAATCGCAGATCATTTGAATTTCAAGACGATCAAAATACTTTTGAATTATTAAAAGTTCATAATGATACGCCAGCGATAGCTAATTACAATGATTTTTACGAATACATAGATGATTTAAGTGAACCCGATGACACCGAGACTGACAATTCGTCGATTAACGAAAATAAAAGGGATCGAAGAAAGAGAGTTAATAGTAGTTATGCGACGAGTTATGGTACCGTGAATGAACAAAGTGCTAAGACTGAGGAGAACGTTTACGATCGCTATCATTCTTACGGTGCTACGAAGGATGAGAAAAGAACGATTCAAAAACCAGAGAAAGTAACGAGTAATTACCATCAGCGGAATACCGTGAACTATAACGGTCATGGGCAGAGTACTACCACCAGGCAAAAAACAATTGAGACATCGACCTCATCAAGGACGAACTACGAGAACGATGATTCTAATAGAAAGAGTGCAAATTATTATGATAGTTCATCATCATCATCATCATCATCAGACGGATCTAAAAATCGGCATAAATTCATGAAACCTGTGGTGGTTGTTGATCCCAATCAGTATAAAATTGAATTGAATTTTGATAGACAATCGTCAAGTAATTCTCCGAGTTCCGTTAACACTGATAATCATTTAAAAAATTCTGATGCGATTGCTGCTGAATCATCGAATGTTTACAATAGATTTCGTCAGGAAGCAAGAGGACGCAGTTACGATCGAGATGATTCTAACGATGATTCAAATGACAGTTTGGATTATATGGATTATATGGAGAAACCCAGAAGAGTTAGCAAAAGTAAAAGACGACCATACAACGTGGAATCGTCCAGGAAATTACCGAAGGAACATCGAACGGTTACTGAGGACAGTATGGAGATCGAAAGTTATAGGAAACGACCTAGCTCGACGAGATCGAAACCCTATCGACAACGTGGACAGTCAACAACTTGGATCGATGATGATAGGAATCGTAACGAGGATGATAGTACCGAGGAAAGAGTTCAAGAATCTAGAATGCGTGCATCACAAATGAAACATCAAAAATCGCAAAAACAGCAGAATGTGAAATCTACGTCAAATAGCGGATGGAGACAGTTAGGACCGAATATTGAAATTTCTCATTCAAATGGTATTGAGATTAGTCCAACGGACAAATCAAATCTCGTAATACCAGTTGGTCTAATGTCAATAGCAAACTTTGATCACGCTACTGCACTTGGTAACAGTCAAGGATTCGACGTTTCTAATGTGGTTTATCAAAATCTTGTAACACCTACACCAATTGGTACAGTTAGCACAGCTAATACACCGCTTCTTGGTCCACATCAATCAACCGTTGGTCAGAACATAATAACAGCATCGAACGTGCCAAGGACTTTAACGAATTTACCAAATATACAGAACGTTGGTATACC